TCCCCTGCTATATCCTGCATGCAGCTGAGATATGACAGCATGCACGAGCATAGAGGGCAATGGAGCATGCACTGTGCCATAGGTTAAATCAATGTTCCTATGTATCCATAATCTATTGGCTGGTAGCTAATCCTTTCTATGCATATCCTGCAATTTATTTAACTTTTTGGGGTCCTCATCCCAAAATTGCTCAGTTGAAAACCTACAATAATTTTGAGTTTTGTATACACTTTTGGTCCAGATCCATCAAGCCACGTAGGAGCCTTTGTAGTACAAACAAACCAGTAAACACATATATGTACATACTTTGGTTTATAGCAGTGTTTCTCAACCTGGGGGTCGGGCCCCCTGTGGGGGTCACGAGGGGGTGTCAGAGGGGTCGCCAAAGACCATAAGAAAACATAGTATTTTCTGTTGGTCATGAGGGTTCTGTGTGGAAAGTTTGGTCCAATTCTGTCATTGGTGGGGTTCAGAATGCTGTTTCATTGTGGGTGAACTATAAATCCCAACAACTTCAACTCCCAAATGGCAAGGTCTATTTTCTCCAAACTCTACCAGTGTTCACATTTGGGCATATTGAGTATTTGTGCCAAGTTTGATCCAGATCCATCATTGCTTGAGTCCACACTCTGGATATAGGTGAACTACAACTCCAAAAACTCAAGGTCAATGTCCACCAGACCTTCCCAATATTTTCTCTTGGTCATGGGAATTCTGTGTGCCATGTTTGATTCAATTCCATCATTGATGGAGTTCAGAAGGCTCTTTGATTTAAGGTGAACTATAAATCCCAGCAACTCCAGCATTACCAAATGACAAAATCAATCACCCCAACCCCACCAGTATTCAAATTTTGGGCGTATTGGGTATTTGTGCCAAATTTGGTCCAGTGACTGAAAATACATCCTGCATATCAGATATTTATATTACAATTCATAACAGTAGCAAAATTACAGTTATGAAGTAGCAATGAAAATAACGTTATGGTTGGGGGTCACCACAACATGAGGACCTGTACTAAGGGGTCGCGGCATTAGGAAGGTTGAGAACCACTGGTTTATAGATAAGTCAATATATGTGACTTATGTGATATGACATATCTATAAGCCAAGGTATGTACTTATCTATAAGCCAAAATATGTACATATGTATTTGCTGGTTTGTTATACACACACACACACATATACACACACACACATACACACTTCTTTCTTAGGAAAATAGGAAAAGGGCAAGTGGCCTTGGTTATATATCTGCTAAGTCCCCAGTACTGCAATGGGTTAAACCCTTCTGTTGGCAGGACTGAAGACCAATAGGTCGGAGATTCAAATCCAGGGAGAGCACGGATGAGCTCCCTCTGTCAGCTCCAGCTCCCCATGCAGGGACATGAGAGAAGCCTGTCACAAGGATGGTAAAACATCAAAACATCTGTGTGTCCCCTGGGCAATGTCCTTGCAGATGGCCAATTCTCTCACACCAGAAGCAACTTGCAGTTTCTCAAGTCACTCCTGACACGAAAAAAAGTCAATGACATTCAAATCGTATTTCCAATCCTGTATTTGCAGTCTGAATCACTATATTCCAGACCTTAATATTTGATATAAGCTGGGGATGCAACCACTGTAGAATTAATGCAGTTTGATAGATTCAGAGGGCTCAGAGGAGGATAGAACTGGCCTGGAGAGAGTTGTTTTGGCAGTTCCCATGAGACTGGAGAAAGTGATATCAGTTCTCATGAGCACCTGCCAGACGTGGAAGCTGAGAGCTAAAACAAAGTGGACTTGGACACAAGGGCATAATTATATAGTTAAATGTGGAAATAACAAATTGTAATTGAGCCCTCGATATAGGCAATATAATAATATATAGAAATAATAACATTGTAATAAAATAATAGCAATATATTATATATAATAGTAATAATGTTGTAATATGATATATGATATATACTATAACTTAGGATATAATACAATCTATATATATATAAAATGCTCTGTGCATAATGAGTTCCTTAAAAACAAAAGAACCAATGAACGGAATCACACTAAATTTGGCAACAAAACATCTCGCAACACAAGGAGTGACCATCACTCAAAAAAATATGATTTTGTCATTTGGGAGTTGTAGTTACTGGGATTTATATTTCACCTACAATCAAAGAGCATTCTGAACTTCATCAATGATGGAATTGAACTAAATCTGGCATACAGAACTCCCATGACCAGCAGAAAACACTGGGTTTGGTGGGCATTGACCTTGAGTTTGGGAGTTATAGTTCACCTACATCCAGAGAGCACAGTGGACTCAAACAATGTTGGATCTGGACCAAAATTGGCACGGATATTCCATATGCCCAAATATGAACACAGATGGAGTTTTGGGGAAATAGACCTTGGCATTTGAGAGTCGTAGTTACTGGGATTTATAGGTCACCTACAATCATAGTCCTGAACCCCACAAATGACAGAATTGGGGCAAACTTCCCACACAGAACCCCCACGACGAACAGAAAATACTTAAGGCCATCCACCAGGGCAAGAACTCCCTTCACCAGGGCAAGAAAACCTAATCAAAGCCCTCCTGACAAAGAGCCATCCAGCCATAGATAAAGATGGATATGATACACACACAGATATAGTATCATAGATTTGAAAGGGACCCCTCAAGAAGGACAATTATATATTGCATGTTCCAGAGCAGGCAAACCAGATAATCTCTACGTCAACACTGTCAAAGAAACAACAAAGAAGTACTGCTTACTCACAAGCATAAAGACATTACATATATTAGAAACCAGCGCTTTCTAATTACTTTATTTTCCAGATTACCAGACTGGGCCACAGCAACACGTGGCAGGGGACCGCTAGTATATTATATAATACAAATACATAAAATACTGGTGGTAAGTACTTACTTACTTAGGTAATCTCTTGTTGTCCGAGTAAGATTGTCCCCCAAGGTTGGTGTCCTAGCAGTGGGTACGTAGGTGGCTGTAGAGCTCTATTCTTGACCTGCATGTTCTCCTATAGTGAGGGCATCGGTCCTGGTCGGGGTTGGCTTGGCATGCCTTCTCCTTGGCACGTTTATCTGTTTCACCCTCCATTCGTGCCTCTTCAAATTCTGCAGCACTGCTGGTCACAGCTGACCTCCAGATGGAGCGCTCAAGGACCAGGGCTTCCCAGTTCTCAGTGTCTATGCCAGTGTTTTTAAGGTTGGCTTCGAGCCCATCTTTCAATCTCTTTTCCTGTCCACCAACATCCCGTTTTCCGTTCTTGAGTTCGGAGTAGAGTAATTGATTTGGGAGACGGTGGTCAGGCATCCGGACATCGTGGCCGGTCCAGCGGAGTTGATGGTGGAGGACCATTGCTTTGATGCTGGTGGTCTTTGCTTCTTCCAGCACGCTGACGTTTGTCCGCTTGTCTTCCTAAGATATTTGCAGGATTTTCCGGAGACAGCGCTGATGGAATCTTTCCAGGAGTTGCATGTGACGTCTGTAGACAGTCCACGTTTCGCAGGCATATAGCAGGGTTGGGAGGACAATAGCTTTATAGACAAGCACCTTGGTATCCCTACGGATGTCCCGGTCCTCAAACACTCTCTGCTTCATTCGGGAAAATGCTGCACTCGCAGAGCTCAGGCAGTGTTGTATTTCGGTGTCGATGTTGACTTTGGTGGAGAGGTGGCTGCCAAGGTAGCAGAAATGGTCAACATTTTCTAATGTTACACCATTAAGCTGTATCTCTGGCAGGGGATGGCTGGTGACTTTGGTTTTCTCGATGTTCAGTGACAGGCCAAGCTTCGTGTATGTTTCTGCGAAGTGGATTGTAGATCTTCTTCTGAATGCGCACAGACAACATTGTCATCAGCATACTGGAGTTCTATAACAGATGTTGTAACTTTGGTTTTGGCTTTCAGTCTGCTGAAGTGAAACAGCTTGCCGTTTGTCCGATAGATGATTTCCACTCCGGTGGGAAGCTTCCCATCAACAAGGTGAAGTATCATAGCGATGAAGATGGAGAAAAAAGTTGGGGCAATAACACATCCCTGTTTGACACCCGATTCCACCTTAAATGGGTCACTTTGGGAGCCATTGCTGTCCAAGACTGTTGCCATCATGTCATCATGGAGGAGCCGCAGGATGTTCACAAATTTGTTTGGGCACCCGATTTTTGGAGGATGGTCCAGAGAGCGCTGCGATTCACTGTGTCGAATGCCTTTGCAAGGTCAATGAATGCCATGTACAGAGGTTGGTTTTGTTCTCTGCATTTTTCTTGGAGCTGTCGTGCAGTGAAGATCATGTCCACGGTTCCTCTTGAGGGGCGGAAGCCGGTCTGGGATTCTGGGAGGGTGTCTTCTGAGAGGGGCAGAAGGCGGTGTACAAAGTATACATCCAAAGGGAAAGAACGCAGGGTGGGAGTGGGGTAAAACAATAAAATAAAATAATAAATATATATATACACTTATAATAATAATAACAATATTATAATATAATAATAAAAATATAAAAATATAATTTAAATATTATATAATAATAATATAAATATATATATACACTTGTAATAATAATAATAATAAAATATAATAATATAAAATATAATTTAAATATTATATAATAATATACATAAATATATACACTTGTAAAAAAAATCCCCATTGCATTCAGAAGTAAGGGAGCAGGAAACTATCCAAACAGCTTTCCCTGGTGGTCTAGTGGTTAGGATTCGGCGCTCTCACCGCCGCGGCCCGGGTTCGATTCCCGGTCAGGGAATAAGATTTTTTATTTCATTAATTTCATTTTTTTTAATTACTACTTTCAGAATGTTTCACCTTCAAGATGCAAGACTTTGCAAAGGGGTGAAATAAATTTATCATGATTTATAATGTCAAAATACAGTAGTAGGTGACTCTTGCAAGGGCTGCCTCTGCCCCCTCCAGTTAGTTGAGCCTGGATTTGCCCTGCAGTTTAATCGGATTGCTGCAAAACCAGGCTGCCAAAGAGGAGGAGGAGGAGGAGGAGGAAGAAGCAGCAGCAGCAGCAGGCAAGGCTGCATCCCTTCTGCGACAGCCAGGCACCTTCCTTGCTCTTTTTGCACCTCCTTGGCTTGGGAAAGGGCTTTGCTCTTGAGTAGACCCATGGCTAGGGCTGGCTGCAGGGCACTGGAGTGTGCTTTGGCCCTTTAAGGCTCCAGGAGACTCCCTCGCTGGCAACACGGTAAGGAACCCCTTGCAGGAGGATTTGTTTGCATTGCAAGGGAAATAAAGCAGGAAAGTAGGCCATGGGTGCAGAAAGGTGGGGCATGGAGAAACCTGCAGGGATGGCAAGGCAAGGCAAGGCAATTGGCATACAAACTCCCCTGCAATGTCAGCAGGAAAAAGCCTCTCCTAGTAATGCAATTCCCTGCATTGTCTGGAGCAGGGATGCCCTCCCTCCCCTTGGAAGGAGAATCCCCCAGACGCGCATGCGCACTGGCTCCTTTCTCAATGCCTGCATGCATGCTTTGAGGTACTGTATACAGTAGGTATGTCTGTGGTCAATGGAAGGGGCTACATCACTTCAAGCAGGGGCGGGTGTCAAAGCTATTTGCATTGAGAGCCACATCATACATATGGCTGCTTTCAAAGGGAGATTGAATCTGAAGCTTTGCACACTCCTACCAAATATATGTCAGGATTGTGTGTGTGTGTGTGTGTACATAATAATATGTATGTATATATATATACACAAAATATATATCAGAATATTATATGCACACACACACACCAAATATATATCAGGATTCTGGGCTTTGCACACACCTATCAAATATAAATCAGGATTGTGTGTATATGTACGTATATGTGTGTGTGTGTGTGTTGTTCATTCATTCAGTCGTCTCTTCGTGACCTCATGGACCAGCCCACGCCAGAGCTCCCTGTCGGCCGTCACTCACATGTTGTGGATTCCACTTTGTGGCCCCATTTCTTAAGGTTGGCTCTGCATCTTGTGGTGCCAGGGCGCAGTCTGTTCTGCGCCTTCCAAGTCGCCCAGTCTTCTGTGTGCCCAGAGGGGAGTCTCTCATCTGGTATCAGCCATTGGTTGAAGTTCTGGGTTTGAGCCTGCCACTTTTGGACTCTCGCTTGCTGAGGTGTTCCAGCGAGTGTCTCTGTAGAACTTAGAAAACTATGTCTAGATTTAAGTCTTTGATGTGCTGGCTGATACCCAAACGGGATGAGCTGGAGATGTCTCTGCCTTGGTCCTTTCACTATTGGCTGCTACTTCCTAGCGGATGTCAGGTGGTGCAATACCGGCTAAGCAGTGTAATTTCTCCAGTGGTGTAGGGCGCAGACAACCTGTGATAATGCAGCATGTCTCATTAAGAGCCACATCCACTGTTTTAGCGTGGTGAGGTGTGTTCCACACTGGGCATGCGTACTCAGCAGCAGAGTAGCACAGCACAAGGGCAGATGTCTTCACTGTGTCTGGTTGTGGTCCCCAAGTTGTGTCAGTCAGCTTTCGTATGATATTGTTTCTAGTTTCTAGCACTGCCTGATGTTCAGGCAGTGCTTCTTGTAGGTAAGAGCACGGTCCAGAGTGACTCCCAGGTATTTGGGTGCG